CTAAATTTTGTGCAAGAAATAATAGTTTTCGCTAGCAGATGAGATACCAGACTTCAACATCATGATTATATGAGACAGTAGACTTTGAATCTTAGCCAGGATTAATATTACCATCAGAGATTTTTCATCTAACTATCGAGTATCGTCAACTATGGTAATTAGACGAAATTTATTTCTAAAACAACATGATGATTAAATTTTTATTTCCGTTTTAGTTTAACAATTACTGTTATATCTAAAAAAAGCATTTTTTTCGATAGAAAGTTAATTGTATGTGTTAATTTTACTGACATATTAACGACATTTTTTCCACATCAAATTGTTTACTGACTTCTAATTTTTATAAAGAGTAAAATAAGTTGACACTAGAAGATTCTCTAATAGTATTAAATTATGATACATGCTATTGTTTTAATGGATTTTTTGATTCTTTCGTTTATATAATAAATAATAAATCGTAGTATATGCAAACAAATTCAAGTGTAAGAATTGATCATTCCATAATATTGTTGAACTAAATAGATGTTCATTATCAACTGTTGTGGTCATTTCAGTTTTTTTTCTGATTTTATCATAATTGACGTACTATAGTACTCTTGAACAGACATTTTTTTAGATGTAGTATTATTAACACTTCTATTTTTTTATCAATATTCATCTACATTATATATATGATTCATTTATGCTTATATGGTCTATATTTGATAATAAATCTGATATGTGTGCATCATTTTGAATAGTTTGATACTTCTCACGTACAGACGCAACTTTCATTTCAAATAATGTTTAGATATTATTAATTTAGTTCATCGAGTGTTAGCAATGATTAACTGAAAAAGGTTTTAATATTACTCTTTCTGATTTTACCTTTGAATACTTTTGTTCATAGTTTTCCGATTATAGGTTCTATTAAGAATGTTAACAGACATTTCTTCATTGCTCTAATGGCTTAAGTATTATTATCATCAAAAAATATAACCTCCTAACTTCTCTTTATATTGAAATACGTCTCTACCAAACACTAATCGACAAATCATATGAGTAGTTAACTAATTCATCTTCATAATAGTGATACCTATAGAATGGTGGGATGAGCTTTACAGGTGAGAATTTTTCGAAAAAGTGTCCAATGAAAGAAATCATATTTGCGTAAAACATCGAAAATCTAATGAAGCAAATGATCGATTCCATCTAAGTTGATTTGTTACTCGAGCTATTATTCATAGTCATCGGTGGAGTTTATAATACAGTTTTCATTCGTCTTATGCAAAAACACTATCAGAACAAAAAAATTCTTATCTGCGGGAATAAATTTCACACAATTTAGGTAATAAGTAGATTATTAAAATAGTTATTTCTGTATTACTTTGGTTGGTAAAGTAACAAAATTTTAATACTTTGTCACTATTTTAAAATGGCATAGAATGTGTGACTTGTAACAATCCTAAAGTCACAATTTTGATGGCAGAAGTCAAACGTCTACGCACACGATCTATCGGAAACGTGTATGATAGAAATGACAGCAGATATTTTTAAGACAAACTTATTAGTCATTATGAAGTAGTCTAACATTGATCGCATGGTGTTTCATCTCGGAAAAAAAAATATTTCTCAATTTATTTTATCGGCCAACATTATTTGATAGAAAGGTTTTTATTTTTGGTAATTATGTGATAAATTTTTTTTTTTTAGTTGGAATTGATATTTAACTCGTTCACATAGTGTTTGTTACCATTAGAGTGATAAATAATCATTTTTAGATGCTGTAGAAACAGGTGATTTGTTTTTAATTGCGCCGTTCACTAGAGTTACTTATGGTTTCAAGTGATTTATTACTTTTGTTCAGAGAGACGAGATTTTAGATCATTAGTCTAATGTTCTGTTTCAGTTGGTTTTTTTTTCGTGTATTAAAAAGAACGGGTATCAATTATTTTGATCACCAAATTTTTCCTCATATCTTAATTACACACAACAGATCGTTCGCTTTATACAGAGAGAAACGCTGGGCAAGATCTAACTGTAGTACTCATCGATTTACAACGTGTGTAATAAATTTGCTTACGACAACATTATTTTTCTTTTGTTGCTTGTATTATTGAAACGAAGCCAAGCAAAATTCTTCAAATTGTCTCAGCAGTTAGTATTCTGTCATGAAAATTATTAATACAGCGTCAAAACGATTTTTAATTAAAATAAACTATTTTTTCAAAAATAAAAATAAAATTATAAAGCACTATGCATAAAACAAAGATAGAAACAAAGTGTAGAATGAGTTATGTTTTATAGGGACCGTGAGGGCTTCTAATTACAAGTCATTGACTTTGTGCCGTGTGTATAATATACGAAGTATATATTGTGTATAGGAATGAATAAAATAGAGCAATTCGATCAAACGGACAATAACACTGGATGTAGTATAGCGAGTATCGGAACGCTGAAAAATTTGGTGATCAACAGTACATTTACTCAAAAAGGATGTTCAATTAAAAGAAATAAATTCGTTGTGATTAATTTCTAATCAATGGAGTACTAATTTCAAATAATAACTCTTTACGTATGATTACAATAAATATCATCAATAGATTAACCTATTACCTCGTGTTTGATTGTTCATTATTTGCACTCTAAAGAAAATTAACCCTAAAATTAGACGACATAAGTCAGTTCGAAATTAGCCGAATGTATTCGCCTTATTTTAGGACGGATGACTTATCAGTCTTACGTTGATACCAATAGTTACGTTCACCTTAACTATCATAGTCATCATCTTGTTTTACTGAGAATGAAATACCGTTGAGAAACTGCTGAAAGATATCAGACAAAATTTTATGTTTCTGTTAGAATTATAGTTGATACTTGAACAGAAACAAAATGTTGCCTAATTCTCAATGATTGGGAAAAAATTGACTTTGAGTAGTATAACAGTGAATGTAGGTTGTTTTTGATCGAAAAACGTACAAAAAAGGTCATTGAGAGTCAAAATACACGGATTATATCGTGTAGACATGATGGTTTTGAAACGAAACTGCGATATTTAAAAATAAAATGATTTTAAATTTTGAAAACTACTAAACTTTTATTTTTTTAATTAGTTAAGTCAGAGTGGACTCATTGATAATAATTACCATGTGCTACCATCTTTTCAATAATGTATTTTGTTTTTAAAAATAACAGTTGTGCAAATTTTGAATGAATATAAACAGAAGCAAAGACAAGCGTTTTCATAACGCTTTTGTAAAAGATTGCCTGCTTACTCTGACAACGGTAACTATTGCGTTACCGATTCCAAAGAAATTTAGGAACTTTTGAACTACCTTCTAAGTTACTTGTAATTTATTCTTGAATTTTGAGGATAATACACAACTGAGGGTACTTCTTCTCTTTGTTTACCTTTTTATACAGGTGGAAGCAAGATCCAATTGACTCTAAATTCATTAGCGCAAAATCGACTTTTTATACGCCACTATTCGCGCCAAAATGCGAAAAGTGATTTGAATCAAGAGATAGTTTGCTGCCCGTTGATTCAAATAATAAGCTCTTCAGAAAAAAAAATTGGACCGATTCTGTTCCCCGTATAAAAAGTCGATTTTGCGCTAATGTATATCAGAGATAGAACGTCGAAAGTCAAAATCGATGTATTTTTGCCCAGAATTTTCTGATATGATCTTCCATATTTTTCACTGGAGTACATTACACCCTTCCCCTTGATTTAGAAAAGTCTATAAATCGAAAAATCAGAAACGAAAAAGCAAAATTACCATTCTTAGATATCGTTCCAAGTATCTATCGTAAAATTTTGAGTGCGATTGGATGAAGTTTTGATGGGACCACAATGTACACAGATTGAAACTATCAATGTTCTGAGTAATTCGCAGGTAATATTGGATAAATCAGGTTTTTTGGAGGTGTTTGAGACGATGCTCATTTTTCAAACGATTAGAAAATTTTCAAAGTGGTCTCATTGTGAAGAGAACGATTTGCTCTATCGGACTATGTATAAGGAATATTTCTGAAGACACTGGAAAGGAAAGAAACTTTTTTGAAAAATTTAAAAAATTGACGTTTTCCATCCTCTCGAGTAAAAACTCAAAAAATTCAGAATTTTTTGCAAAAATATTTCCTTGGAATGGTGTGAGTGATCTTATTTTGTAGCACTCAAACCTCCTCTACAGGCTAGCTTCAACTTTAGATCGAATATTTTATTTTAAACAAGAGGGGAGGTTACCCTTAATTCAAAAGTAACTTGTATATAACCAAAGTAATGGTAAAGTCATAGTTATTTTTTTTAAGACTTTAATTCACATCTCTCCAGTGCAATGGCCACTGAAATCGGGTTACCCCATTGCATCTGTGTCCAAAGGTACCGAGACAATGAGCATTAGATAACTTGTCCAAGACTATCGACCGCCGTTGGCGGGATTCGAACTCCGTATGTTTGAAGTACGTTGTCTGCTCAGCAGTCGACTGAGCCACGATGCTCGAATCATAGTTATTAATCACTTTGGAATCGATAACTCAATAGTTACCGTTACAAGAGTAAGAGATAATTTTTTCGTTCATTTTGTTCACAAGGTAACTGATTGCATATTCACATAGAGCACAATCGATGGGATATGTCTATATTTATATTTCAATTTTTGAGTTTGTATGAACATCGGAAGATCATGAAATAAACTCGAGAGACAATATCCTGTTGGATTTCAGAATCATCACTGATATCTAATACACAATTTACTACACATTCAAGAATGAAAGAACAACAAACAATAACAACATAGTTTTTGAGTTTTTAAAACTAAAACAAAGATTAATACAGAAAATTTTTCCAAATTATTATGGCAGAACATAAGAAGGCCATTAAAAAAGAAAAATTTTTCTATTACGGGGAGATCAAACTGACAGATGAAAGTAAACAACAAAGAGAAAAAACAAATTTTTAAACAAAAAATATGGTTAATAATAATAATAATTATTGTCCACAGGTTAATATGTTTAACTATTTATCGTTTCAATTTTAACTTGTCGACATCGTCTGCCAATTTGTCCGTTGTATCCTTTTTACCCGGTTTAATACCCCTTTTTTCCAATGCTCTTGCTACAATTTCTTTACATTCATCAAATTCTTTTTCAGTGGCAACATCATATGCATCTTTGCCTAAACAAATATGTTAAAAATCGGGAAGAATAATAGTCAAAAATTAATAATAATATACACGCACTCACCTTCATTATTACGTAATGCCACATCAGCTCCTGCCTTAATTAACGTTTGTAATATACGAGGTTTATTGAAAAAACAAGCAACCATTGTTGGCGTATTGTTTTTGAGATCTTGCACATTCACTTTAGCTCCATGACTTAATAATAATTCAACACATTCTGGACTATCAACGATACCTTTTTGTTATTAACAGAAAAATTGATGAATAACTAACTACGCATAGTTAACGCTATTTAGTATCAATATTATCGTTTACCTGCACTTGCAAAATGTAATGCTGTTCCTCCTTGATCATTTCGATGATTTACATTTGTTTCTTTACGATTCAATAAACTCCTAATAGTCCATAAGATTATTTATAAAATAAAACATATCGTAATGAAAGTTTTATAGCAAACTTACTGGACAATTTTTCTTCGATTATGTCGAGCTGCAATACTCAATGGTGTATCACCCATAAATGCCACATTTGGATCGGCATGAGCATCCATCAAAACATCAACACAATCAGGTCTATCATGAATAACCGCTCTAAAGATATAATATGTAGTTAGTACAATCATTTATTTAAGCTTTTCTTGTTATAAATTACTTATGAATAGCGGCCATAGAACTTCGATCTAAATGATTGACTTGTGCACCATTTTTAACTAATAGTCGTATGAGATCAGCACGATCTTTTTGCTTAAATAAAAAATGTATACAATTTCTACTACGCTTTAACGAATCTAATAGTAACGCATACACGTAAACTTTGACCATGATATTCAGCATCGCATAAAACATGAATGGGTGTTAAATGATGTTCACTCTCGGTTTGATTTGGATCAGCATTATTCTATTAAAATTATCGAAGGGAAACAAATACACATTGAACAAATTCAGCTAAATTCCATCTCTTTGACAGTATAATGAACATTACTTACATCAATCAAAAAGCGGATGATGTCAAGATCTCCCTCGAAACAGGCAATAATAAGTGGTGACACTTGAGCAATGGGCACTCCGGTTTGTTCATGTAATATTTCACATTGTACTGATGCGCCTAAATCAAAGATTATATTTATATTTATATTTATAATCAAGACTACATCCTATAGTTTTAGTGTACTTACTTGTGCCCTTTCGTAACACATCTCGAATACCCTTCAATTTTTCATTAGTATCGGTTTGTGTTCGATCTGTATTCCATATAGCAATCAATAACGGATGATGTTTATCTTTGAATGGTCGATCTTGATTTGCGGTTCCAGCAGCAGCGGATGACGACGATTTACTGTCTTTTGGTCCGTGTGATGACTCTTTATGACGGCTAGAACGCTGTTCCCCATGTCCACTGAAAAAATAAAACATCGACTTTTTACATAGTACTGCGGTCACAGTGCAATTTTTATAAAAAATGAGCATCATGTTTTTAGACGTAACTTGGCATTATACACATACCATATATAGCACATATATACAAAGTTAGTATGGAGATTGCGAATAAGAGAATATTAATCAATACAGTTTCTAAACGGATTGTTTCAATTTAGCAAATTTTTTTAGTGCTACAGTTTGTAGTTGCATAAGCAGATTTTTAACTATGAGCCCTCATCAGATTCTGGTCAGTAGAGATGAAAACAAAACGTGTCAAATAAGATCAAAGAAATGGTCTAGTACTCAATTTGTTAAAAACAAAGATCGCACCATTCACTATTCTCATAAAATAATTATGAGAATGCTGCTCAGTTTTCCTTTGTAATTATTTCATACAATAAACACATAATATTTTTATGCCGTTTTCTTTCTATACAACTTGTATGTTCATGTAGAGCTCCTACATAAGTAATCTCAGATCCAAAATTTGGCACTTTGCAAATTATTTTCAATCAATGAAATACTTTACACTATCCGTAATTCAGTGAAACATCACACAAATTATGATAATTCATTTGATCAGAGAAAACGTTTAAAAATTTTTGTTGTAGTTGGCATAGGTCACTGTCTTCCTCATTCTTTATCAATCTCTCGCAAATTTTCTGTACTGAACGTTGTTTTCATCTATTTGCTGATATATACCCAGGTCGTCAAATATTGTCAGATGGTCTTGCAAGACCTTGTATGATCTTACAGGATTATATCATAAGATTTTATAAGGTTTCATATGATCGCACAAGATCTTACAAGATTTCCTGTGAATCAGTTTCTCTGATTCCACATAAGATTTCATAAGACTTTTCTTGTAAACCGATTTCACAAAATCTTGAAAAATGTTATGATAAGATATTGTAAGATCATGTAAGAATTCATCAAATCTTACAAGATAATGTCCATGATTCTACCTACAGATTCCCTCTATAGACCCTCTTCAAAAAAATATTTTTCTTTCCATAAGATTTTCTAGAATATAGGTAGGATTCTCCCGTCCTTAGGATCGTGGCTGACCACCTTCCTTATAATAGCCATGCAACTGGTCTGTGTTCAGGTGATGCGTAACGTTGAAGAAAGAAAAATATTCTGAGTTTTGTCATAACTACCATATTTCATATATACTATATATCGTAGCAAATTTTATGTGGTAACAATGAGTCATCACTTCTTGCAAGATCTTGTAAAATCTTGTGAGTAAGAGTGTTGAACTCTTTATCCCAAGTCATGATCTTGGACAATCTTGAAATAAGATCTTGTAAAATGCTGAATTATGATCTTATCACAAGATTTCATAGGAAAACGACAGATCTTGTATGATCCTGCAAGATCAAATTCACCTGGATAGGACCGACCAATTCAGAACGTTTTACAGTTGTGGTGAAAATTTCGAATATGAAGGGAAATAGTTCTGGTGTAATATCAAATAAGAAAGCATTTTCTCGTATCATTCTTTCACATGAGCATCGTAGAGCTTGGTTTTTTCACGATGCATCTCTTTTTGAAAAAGATAATAAATTCATAAAACACTAACTTTTCTTTTAATTAACAAACAAGGAAAGAAAGCTATCAATACCTGATACAAAGTCTGTTCAGACAGAACAAGAGTCACATGTATTCGATAAATTTCAAAAAATACTTTTCAACTTCTCCGTTTGTTTTGAATTAACAACCAATTCTACAGCATTGAGTAATTGATTGAAATTCTGTAATTATTACCTTTTTCAAAAAACGACAGGGGTGGACAAAATGCTTATAACTTTTGATAGGAGATAGCTATAGACCTGCGGTTTTCGCCATTCGAAAGAGGACAGCGGGACACGTAAACCTATGGAAAAACAGGGTGCCCGACCACGTTTACCATGGTATACTATTCGAGACAAAAGCCGAAAATTTACCGTTCCCAAACCACACTATGGAATTCAATCTCAAATAATATCGGTCGATAGCTAAAACATTTCTCTGCAAAACTACGTAAGGCCTAGGTCTCCACCTCTTTTGATTCTGGAGATACAGATGTTTTCCGAGGACACACCTATCTCATTGCAGACACGTCTGGAAACCTCAGAAACATGTGGATGATAGGCAATCGTCCACGCTGATCATCGTAGCGATGTTCGTTTCATTTCCCATTTAATCACAACTTCAGAAAACTCAGTTTGGTGAAAAATCGGTTTTCCGCCTGTTACCGTCAGAAATTAAAAGCCTTATATTTCACTCATTTCTCGTCCAAAAAGGCTCAGACTTTCAGGGAATGATTAGCAGAGACCACAGAATACAGATCAAGTCGAAAACATTGCATAAGGTTTCCAGTTTAGGCATACGGTTTTTTAGCGGATCTCTGGAAAGCCTCCCACGACAAAAGCTCGGATCAGCTTTTTTCGCC